TGTGTGTGTGTGTGTGTGAGTGTGTGTGTGTGTGTGTGTGACACCTAGTGAGTGAGAACATTTGAAAACTCAATATTTCTAAGACGCTCAGAACTACTGGTCCTCAGTCTGAGGTACTTACAAGAATGTGTGTGTGTTTCTGTCTGTTTCTGTCTCTGTGTGCGTCTCTGTGTGTGTGTGTTTATCTGTGTGTTTCTCTGTGTGTGTTTCTCTGTGTGTGTGTGTTTCTCACCTCCACCGGGGGCGTGGCGTGCGCCAGCTCCAGGGCGAAGCTCTCGGGGATGTGATTGGAGGAGATGGTCACCAGGCTGTTGAGGGACTGGCGGCTGTGGTGGTTCTGGTTCTGGCGGTGTTCCCGGTCCAGGGGGGGGGTGGAGGAGGGCGAGCGGTGGTGGGCCCTGATTGGCAGGGTCCCGTTCACCGTGGGAACCAGGGTGATGTCTCCCTTGTGGATCTGGCGCGAGGGTTTCCGGGGCCGGTGCTCGTGGACGGACTCCGCCACCCGGCAGTTGTAGGAGTGCCGGGTGTCCTTCTTCTCGCGTTTGCAGCGCGCCGCGAACGCCACCATGATGACCAGCAGCACCACGCAGATCACCGCCAGAGACACGATGATGATCTGAGGGGCGTCCAGGGAAAACTCGCCCTGGTCCATGAGCTGCTCGTGGGTCTTGATGTTCTCCAGGAGGGTTATCTTGAGCACCGCTTTAGCGCTGAGGCTTTCGCTTCCCTGATCTCTGACCACCACCGTTAGCTCGGCGTGCTCGCGGGGGAAGCTATCCAAGCTAGCGTTAGCGTGGATCTCGCACGTCCTGGGGTCCATGAGGAAAAACCCTTCTTCGTTGCCGCCGGCGATGGAGCAGACGAGCTCGGCGTTGACCCCCGTGTCCCGGTCCGTCGCCCTGACGACGGTGACCAGCCCCCCCGGCTCGGTGGACTTCAGCGCGGGGACGTCCGCGGTGAAGTTGGACAGCTGCGGGACCACGATAACCGGGGGGTTGTCGTTCTCGTCGAGGACGTTGAGGACCACCGTGGCGTTGCTAAGGAGCGCCGGTTTCCCCGAGTCCCTCGCCTGCACCACGAAGGCCACGCGGCTCACGTCCTCGCGGTCGAAGGTGCGCAGTGCGTAGATGGCGCCGCTGGACAGGTCCACGGTCACGTACGTGGAAATCGAGCTCCCGTGGACAGAGTTCTCCAAGATGGAGTAGCTCACCTGGCCGTTGGCGTCCAGGTCCGGGTCGGTTGCCACGACGGAGGTGAGGTACGCCCCGGGGGCGTTGTTCTCCATTTTGAAAACCTCGTAGCGGCCCTTCTCGAACCGCGGCGGGTTGTCGTTCTCGTCGGTCACGTGCACGGTGAAGTGTTTGACGGTGGACAGGCTGGGCGTCCCCTTGTCCTCGGCAACCACCGTCAGGCTAAACTCCGCCCTCTTTTCTCTGTCCAGGGACACGTTGGTCAGGATCATGTAGTTGTTCTCGTAGGTCCTCTGCAGCTTGAAGTAGCCCTGGCCGTGCAGGCGGCACTCCACCTCCCCGTTCAGATCCGAGTCCAGGTCCTCCACCCGCACCAGGGCCACGAACGTGTCCAGGGGGGACGCCTCCGATATGTAGGCCGCGTCCCCGTTCCCCTGGGCGGACATCAGGTTGATGCTGATGTCCGGTTTGTTGTCGTTCACGTCCACCACTTTGACCAGGATTTTACAGTGGGCGGGCATGGAGTTCGGACCCATGTCCTGCGCCTGGACGTCTATATCGTACGAGTTCAGGGTCTCGAAATCCACGCGTCTGACCAGGGTCAGGTGGCCGCTGTCCGGGTTGATTCTGAACGTCTCCATGATTTTCGGGGACACGTGACTGCTGAAGGAGTAGACTATTTTCGCGTTCGTCCCCTCGTCGGCGTCCGTAGCGTTTAAGTCGATCAGCAGAGTGCCGACAGGTGAGTTTTCGGGCAGGTTGATGACGTAGGAGGACTTCTCAAACACCGGGCTGTTGTCGTTAGAGTCCGCCACGCTGATTTTGAGGAGAGTGGAGCCCGTTCTCGCGGGAACGCCCCTGTCGGAGGCCGTGTATTGAAGTTCGTAGCCCGCGCGCACCTCCCGGTCCAGCTCCCTTAGAACCACGAGCTCCGCGTACTTCACCCCGTCGCTCCGGGACTGGATGTCGATCTTGAAGAAGTTGTTGGGCTCTAACGCGTACGTGTACAGCGAGTTTTCGCCCACGTCCGGGTCCGTGGCGCTGTCCAGGGGGATGCGCGCGCCCACGGCCGCGCTCTCGGAGATCTCTATGGGCACCACGGCGCGCGCGAACTGGGGCGCGTTATCGTTGATGTCCAGGACTTCCACCTCGACGTGGAAGAGCTGCAGGTGCTCGGTGGGCAGCGTGAGCACGTCGAACTGGATGGAGCAGTTCAGGTTCTTCTCGCAGAGTTTCTCGCGGTCGATTTTGGTCCTGATGCTGATTTCTCCGTCCTGCTCGCGCACGGTCAGGAACGAGGAGCTGCCCCTCTGCATCGCCCTGAAGCGCAGCGACACGGAGCTGGGAAGTTTGGCCAAAACGTCCGCCACGTCCTCCCTGAGGCGGGCGATGACGGTGCCCACCTTTTGCTCCTCGTAGATCTGGTATTTCAGCGTTTTACCGGCGGTTTGTTGCGCTGCCAG